TAAAAAATATTTTTTAATTTATTTTTATTATCAGTATATTAAAAAATATAGTAAAATTATTTTAAAATAAAAAAATGAAAATACGGTTGAATAGAAATGACAATGACAGTACAGGCCTCATCGAAATATGATGCGTTTATTCTAGGAACCAGGATCGAGTGCAGGTGATTGGGTGAGGAGTGAAGACGCTGATTTTAGAGGTTTTGAGAGAGCGGCAGTCTGCAGAGAATGGGAATCCGACCATATCCTCCAAAACCCGCGCTGGACTCAGTCACCGCCAATCATCAGTCAGCCACCCATAAACACCAAAAATCCCCGTCCTTTTGATTTCCACCACATAAAAATAGTACAATACTCCTCCTTCACTCCATTCCTATCTTAATAATAATAATAGTAATAAAGCTCAACTCTTCTCTTCCAAGTCAAGACATGATCCTATACACTCCTGCTCCATTCCTCACTACTACTGAACCATCTCCACCTTTTCCTAGGGTTTCTAAACTCTGCTTCTTAACCCCCTCTTATTCTCTTTCCCTTCGTTTTAGATCCACTGCTCGACGCTTCACTTCTTTTCCTTGTGTCCTCTCCTCTCTCAACCTTCACGCAATGGCTGAACTGGTTCAGGATAAAGAAGTCTTCGCTTCTGCTGAAGTTGATTACAGTAAGAAGAAAAACAGGACTCGTTCTCGCTCGTTTCTTGATGCAACAACTGAACAAGGTATCTCATACTTTTTTTTTTCCTGTTGTTTGTTTGGTTGCTGAGAAGATGGAAGAAAATTAATCTTTACATTCGTTTAGATAGGTATGATTTTAGCAGAGACTTATTAAGGCTTGCTTCTTCTACTATTCTGTTTTTAATATTATTGCATTACTTGCGATTTCTATTTTTGGTTTGTTTGTGTGGCTGCTGAGAAAATGCAAGGATAAGGAATATTAACCTCTGTTTAGCAGTTCCTCCTATGCTTGTTTCTTTCCATATATTCTTAATTTCAGTCCTTTTCCCCCCTATTTTTCTCAATTTGTTCCTTTTTTTTTTCGTTTTCTTTAATGATATGATTAAAAAAATCTTTTGATGATAGGAATTATTTGGTAGCATATAATTCTTTAAAGTCCGTTTAAGAAATTCAATTTCAAAAAAAAAAAAAAGGAAAGGGAAGAAAAGGTAAGTAAATACACCCTGCATATTTTACTCCACAGTATACAAGGCTTGTTTAGTTTCTCCTCTAATATGTGTGGTTGAATTGCACTTTATATATTCATATGTATATTTCTACTTAGTCATAAAGTAACTTTTTATTATTTAATTCTCTAACCTACTAAGCTTGTATATTTTCTGCTCCAAGGTTGAGTGAAGGCAATAGAATAAATTATCTCATGAAAAAGAAAAAGAAATGACTATTGACTTGAATATCGCTTTGATTTCTTTAGCAGAAGAGGTTGAGGATATTCTATCAGCCATTTTTTATGTAATGCATGATATAGCGTGTCTTGAAATTTAAACAGGTTGGAGACTTAGTTTTAGTTGAAAGGATTTCTTTTGAAACTTCACATGTGGTTCACGTTTAGTTGGGCTTGGCGGAGGATTGGTTTTCTTGTCTTACAATGAATGTGCTCTGCAGAGTTACTGTCGGGAATCAGGAAGGAATCAGAAGCAGGAAAACTTCCTTCAAATGTTGCTGCAGGAATGAAAGAACTGTATCAGAACTACAAAACCGCAGTAAACATATAAACTCAAATCATGCTTCAGTGCGCATATTCATGTTCTAGTCATTCAATTTCCATCTCTTTCAATTGATTTTTATTCTAGGGCATGACATCCCATATGTATCCGTATTTCAACTATCTTTCATGAATCCCATCCGTTGTCTTTGTCTCTGTCTCTCCAAATTCAAAGGAAAAATTTATGCTGTGTGATTAGAGCTTAGCAGGTCCCTAAAGTTAATGCAGGATTCTTTTGCAGATGTCCTTTATGAGGATTGAGGAAAAATTATTTTTGCTCATCTAGGGTGTTGTCTTGCTCTCTAACATCAGCGAGTTCATGCTTATGTTTCCTGGAATGCCTCTATCTTCCAAAAAGTTCATTTTCATGTCTTTGCTGCTCAGGTTTTGCAAAGTGGAATTCCCAACGCTCATGAGATTGTATTGGAAAATATGGCTGCTGCATTGGATCTTGTATTCTTGGATGTTGAGGTGATTTGGCCCTCATGTACCCACCATCAAGATGCTTTTTTTGTCAGAATTGTTGGCTTATATGAACCTCTCATGTGAAATGCACAGTAATTTTTCAGGACCCGTTTATCTTCTCACCTTATCACAAAGCATTGAGAAAGCCATATGACTACTATGAATTTGGTCAAAAGTATATCCGTCCATTGATTGATTTTAGGTGAGTACACAACTTCTATATTTTCCCTCTTTAATTGTATCAATATCACACATTCATTCGGTGTACATAAAGCTTCCTGATAATTTGAGATGTGACAGACACACACAAATATACACCTCTCTTCTTCATTTGATGCTCCGACAATAGCTTTATATCTACCCTTTCTGTAGTGATGTTGGAAATGATTGGGGCTTTGCAGTTTCCGAGATATTCCACTGATTCAAATTTCTGTTCTTCTTCTTATTAAGAAATACATAGTGGAGCAACTCATATCCTTAAGCAAAGTGGTAACAAGAGGGTGACGTGTGAATTATAATTATGCTGCTTCAGTTTCATTTGCTCAGATTAAGCCTTGTATTTCACCCTGCTGCTGACCTTACCTTTGACCTTATTTATTGCAGAAATTCATATGTAGGCAATGTTTCCATTTTCAATGAAATTCAAGAGAAGCTTCAGCAGGTGCTTTCTTTTTTTTAATAGTTGTATTCATTCGCTAGATATAAACTTCAGTGAATTTTGTTCAATTGCCGTTACTCTGTAATTTTGGATGGGTTTTCCTCTTCCTTTTCCCCTTCTAAAGACATTTTTAAGTATTCTTTCTCTGCTGATTATTTAACACTTCCCAGCATGTTTCATAAAGCATTGGGTAGTTGCTCTGTTGTTTCAGGCATTGTAATTTCACATGCTCATGGGTAAATCTGCTACACTAAGATGTGTATACAATAGTAATGGGAAAATAGAACTATGTGTCTGCTTTAGCCTCAGGACATCCATGAACTCCAGCAGATAAAATAAATTCCGTGGATAGAGATTAGAGAAGTCAAGTAAATAATCTAAGGCTTGTGCTCATTAAAAGCAGTAGAATCCCTCTCCTGGTTGTAATTTCATTACAAAAAATGGCAATTTGGTCTCCCTTTTTTCCCTTTGTAATCCTTTCCGTCCTTCCAACATCTCTACCACTATACCAACATTCATCTATTCAACTTAAACTCCTAAAATTATCTAAATTGTGTATTTTTTTTCTGGGTTAAATAGTACCCAGTACATAGATTCCTTACAAAATATTTTTTCATGGTGGCAGGGTCACAATATTGTCTTGATATCAAACCACCAAACTGAAGCAGATCCAGCTGTAATTGCACTGTTGCTTGAAACATCAAGCCCTCACATTGCTGAAAACTTGGTGAACTTGACACTGTCTATCCTAGCCTGCTGGAAAGAGCTATTTTGTGTGTTTGAAATGCTTCCATAACCAAATTCTACACTTTCCATTGCAGATCTATGTTGCTGGGGATAGAGTTGTCACAGATCCTCTTTGCAAGCCATTCAGCATGGGAAGGTACTTATGACTTAGACAACAATCTACTATGCCTTTTTAATGATTAGTTGCACCATTTCAAACTCCGCACATTTGCCAGGAATCTTATATGTGTATACTCAAAAAAGCACATGAATGATGACCCTGAACATTCAGAGGAGAAGAGAAAAGCAAATATCCGAAGTTTGAAAGAGATGGCTTTGCTTTTAAGGTACCCAAACTACCTTTTTTCTTTATTGCCTGACCAAAAGCTTGGGTGCAACAAAATAATTTTTGAAACTTGGTTCGGGATCTATTTATCATTGTTGATTTTTGTCATTTATAATGTGGTTACTCCCTCAAGAATTAGGTTGTTTGGACTGTCAATTAATAGTGCTTATAGATATATTTTCTGCCATCATTTCTTTCTGTTTCCTTTTTCATGTAATAGAAGCACAATAAGAGGGTGACCAATTAAATTATTTAGAGATTTTTTTCTTTTTTCGGGTTGGGGGGGGGGGGTATGTGAAGAAGTATTGATATAGAGGTTGTACTATTATGTAGTTTCAAAACCATTGGCAGTCTCTTTTTCATAGTCTGGTTTGGATTTATTTTGTTTCAACTAGCTTGTATATTTCTGCTTCGTACATCTCTTATAACTTGTGCATGGATTTGTTCTATAACCAATACCAATTGTTAATACCTATTCCAAAATGGTAAAAAAGACTGCTAGTTGATAATTCAAGTCGAAAAGAGCTTCCCCTCTTTGGTTTTGAATCAGATGTTCCTTTTGTATTCTAGCACATTCACTGGGGCATTGTTTTCACCCTGATTTTACTGACAAAGGAGCCAAAATGGACAAATCTTTATAGGATTCGATGAGGATGGTTTGAATGATTGATAGAAAGAGGGTAATATCCAAGTGGATGAGTGTCTATGAATAAGTCCATTCAAAACATCAGACCATTATACCCTGTTGACTCATTTTACCATCCTCTGAAACTGTAATTTCTACTAGCAGAAAATTCCTACATCTTAACTGACTAATAAACAGTGATAATATATGGAATCTGATAAAATGGCTTAAGCATCATTAATGATCATCATCCAGTGTTTGATATCATTGGTACTTGGTAATAAGTGTTTGATATCATTGGTACTTGGTAATTTACTTGTATTTGTAAGCAATAGCATCTTGTATTATGTAATCTCCCTGAATTTCTGTCATATAACATCCTCATTGTCAATTATGGGTAAGAGGGTTAAGGGAAGAATTTTCCTCTTATCAATGCCCAGCCAAGCATCCCTTAGGACTACACTTCTCCATTTGACCCTAAAACCTTATGTTATTATTTGATTATTATTTTCCAACAAACTTTAAATTTACTTCAACGAGCCATCAATTTGTGTTAACTTGTACCATGAGCTTGCTTTGCCATTAATCTGCCAGGCATGTAAAAAAAACATGTAATATGGGTTCCGCTCGCAACTCTCAAAGTGTAATATGATCCTTCTCACATGCATGATTTTCGCATATTATATGTGTAGTTTCTTTCAATGGGAAGTCTGTTTTCTTACGTGCTTAAATAAACATGCTGTTATTCTATATATGCAACCTTTGAGAATATTACTGACTGTAGGGGTGGCTCACAAATAGTCTGGATTGCACCAAGTGGTGGCAGGGACCGTCCAGATCCCTTGTCAGGAGAGTGGTATCCGGTAAGTTTTCTTTTGTTGACTTTGTTTTTTGGGGAAAGAAAATAGAAATACAGAGAAGCTCGACTTTTGCTATTGCCTTTTTATGATCTTAGATAGAATTTGGATTAGTTCATCCTTGCCCAAAGATTTTGACATTGATTCATTGTTTGAAATTATTCAGTGTTTGCGTTTGTGGAATCTCTTTATGGTTTATACTAATGCAGAAGCATTTTTTATATCTAAAATTCTTGGATAGGGCCCATAGCTGACCTAGCATAAATTAGATGAGTTTCCTTTGTGATAGCAATTTCTTATTATGACACTGGGAAGATGTTTTCATCTTTCTTGTCCTGCCAAAAAGAAGATGATAATCGTTGTTACATTTATTTGTTTGATGCTTTCATAGTCATTCATACTGATTTAAGGTTGGCAGGCACACTTTGATGCTTCTTCAGTAGACAACATGAGAAGGCTTGCTGAACATTCTGGAGCTCCAGGACATGTTTATCCTCTGGCATTATTATGCCATGACATCATGCCCCCTCCGCCTCAGGTATGCCTTTGTTTGATTTGTAGTTTTTTGGAATATTGTTTCTCTTTGCTCAACTCCTTTGGAAATCTTCAGGTGGAAAAGGAAATTGGAGAGAGAAGAGTTATTTCATTTCATGGAGTTGGATTATCAGTTGCACCAGAAATCAGCTTCTCTGAAGTTACAGCCGCATATGAAAATCCTGAAGAGGTTGGTTACACATGATACACTGGCTGTGCACCTTGAGCCTTGTACAAATTAAAATGTTTTCTTCCGAATTAGCATAAATATCCTTCTCACAGAATTCTTTGCTCTCCTTCTACAACCAGGAAGCAATAAATTGAGGAAACACTATGTCTGCCTGTAGCATTCTACTCACTGTAGAGCTGCAGATGACTATGGTCATGCATCAGCATTCTTTAGTTTCCTTCCTGTTACAATGAATTTTGGTTATCCATGAATTCATTGACCATTGTTTTAATCTGTAGTTACTTGATTTAGTGTACATCAGTGACTAGTAGTGCATTTGCTGATTAAGGTGGTGCTTTTAGCTGAAATGATTAATTGTAATTATCTATTGGCAAACTTACGATAAATATCAAGAAAGTTTCATGGATATGATAGTATGAACTCTATAAACACTCAATTGTTTCTTGGGAACTGTTGGCGCCTGCATATTGTCCCCTGGATGTTTTGTATCTAATGAGCTGGCTTTGCTGTAACAGGCTAAGGAGGTATATACAGAGGCTCTGTATAAGTCTGTGACTGAACAATACAATGTGCTTAAATCTGCTGTACATGGAAAACAAGGGCTAAGGGCGTCCATTCCAACTGTTTCTTTGTCACAGCCATGGAATTAGTCAACTTTTTCTACACTTGATTAGGTATTTGCGTATCCCTTTATATTATCAGTAAATTAGGATCACAATCAATGATTTTTCTGGTATAGAAATTAGAATATTTATTGTAAGGAGAATTATGCAAACCATGGTATTCACAGGCAAAAGACATCTATTTTCGTGCTTGTATTTGGTTGTACTCTTTCTAGGGCACATTTTGATTTACCTTAGATATTGTATCCGTCCGAAGATGCAGACAAGCTGCTAATAGCTTGGTTGAAAGAGATCTGCTTTTAATACATGAAGAACCAATTGATGAACTTGAGTTGTAATGTTGATGCTTAGAAACCTCCAGTGCAACGAATCCTTTCAAGAATTCTCAATATTCCAATAGTTATCTGTTTACAGTATATCTCTCATTGGTGGTTTATTTGGAATACATACATGTTGCTATTCTGATTTTTAATACATGAAGAACCAAGTGATGAACTTGAGTTGTAATGTTGATGCTTAGACAACTCCAGTGCAACGAATCCTTTCAAGAATTCTCAATATTCCAATATTTATCTGTTTACAGTATATCTCTCATTGGTGTTTTATTAGGAATACATACTTCTTGCTATTCTGAATTTTGATCGTGCAAGAGGTTCTTATGTGACCTATAGCAAACATATTTTCTCAGCTGGAAGCCTAAAACGGATGTAAAATTGTAGCTTAGTATTAAATGAACTGCCTTGTAAAATATTACTAGCTAACCTCTCATAGAACTCTCATATCATATTCTACTTGACTTGTAAATTGCAGGCCAATTGTTTTGTTATATAGTTCTGCAACTCCTGGACCACAATTCTAGCGGTCCTTCCAGTCAAGTATGTGCCAGGAGAAGCTTCTCTCTCCATGATGACATGGATGGCTTTTTCTGGAGAAGCAATCTAAGCTACAAGTTTTTGCTGTGCTTACATTCTACCAAAGCCAAATCTCACACAATATCTCGAAGCCAAATTCATCTGAAATGCGAGCTGTTCCAGAGGTTCAATTGCAGGTGTGCAGATAACAGTTCGTAGTAAACACAAGAGCCAGTCGTCTGAGGCGATATACATGTATATTTTCTCAATTTTTTGGTGGCCGATCATATTCTTTTTACACCAATTGCTCAATTGCTACTCATTTTTCTCCCTCGTTCACCTCCAATAACTAGAAGTTTTCATGTTATAACACTTGCACACAGAAGTACTATGAACAGAGTTAGAGCACATTTTGCCTCTTGACTAAACAAGACTTGTTTTTAGCTGCCACACCAAACTTTTTATATGATGCAATTATGGTAGTCGTTTTCTCTTGTTTTGGTCAAAACCCACACCAGCTATAGTTGCTACAGCCCATGGAGAGGGGGGCATGTTTTTTTTTTTTTTGTTTTTTTTTTTATTGTAAGTTGTAGTAACCATGTTCAACTGAACTATGCATCTCGTAGGACCACCTCTTAAGCCCCGTGATCTAACCATGTTTTCGATTATTTTTTTTTTGGGCTTTTGGTTTATTTAAACGCAGCAGCTTTGACCCAAGTTGAAATAAAAAAATCTATTAAAGTTTTTTTAGGAAAAATAAAAAACTGATACATGAAACATATAGTTGTGTGAAATTTCAAAATGGTTGAAGGGGGCGTTGACATGCATTCATCATACTTATTATTGAGATATGTAGTTAGAACAACGAAAGAAAGATTTTTGGCTCTTGTTCGTATATTTAATTTTATCTAGTGGTTTTTAATTTTTAATTTCTTAAGACATGGAACTTGTCTTGATAATGAATTTAGTAACACTCATTTCTTTTTCCTTAAATTGAGATATTTGTTTTCAGTAGGTGATAATCTCGAACTTGGATTCATAAACCGATACTGATTTCTCTGGTCATTAATCGACGGTAGCGTCTAGGTTGAGGGAAGAGAGTACATGTGTCCGTAGCCAAGGTTACTAGGGGGACCACACGTGCTGTATGGAGAGACAAGAACTGTTACTTTGGATCAATTACGCATATTTTGAGACCTCTACACGTGTTGTTTAAATAATATCCTGAAAAGCCTGCCCTTGCTTGCTGTTTGTTCGTGGTGGGAGGGGAAGATCGCAAGCACCTCCCCCACTGCATCTCTCATTTTCTGAACAAAAAGAAAGGGACACGCTCTCATGTATAATATATATATATGGCTCTGTTTGTTGCTTGTATAGATTACAGGAAGAGTTTGCCTGAAAAGAAATTTAAAAAACCCGAGTCTTGCTACAAGCACCAGCCCCCATGCAAGGTCTGATGAGGCTCCTTGTCAAGGCATGGTTTGTCTCTTGCTCCATGTACTTGATTGTAATTTGAATTTAGCAATTATATTATTTGATTGGCGTTTGCTTGCACGAGGGTTTCGAATAATCTCACATTCTTATATAATGTAAAGGTAATATTTAATCGAAAGTTTAAGACACCAACATATCTGGGATATCACAATTCAGTGAGGAGTGTGCCATGGGACTGCTCTACCGATGCCGAGCTTCCACTTGCTGTTCGAAAAGGTATATGGCTTCTTCTATCACCGCTAATTGTGGGATTTTATCGGCGAACAACATTATAGCATTGTAATCAGCTGTTTTTATAATTTGTTTTCCAAGAAAATTCATATTAATTGTCCTATCTATATTACTATTTCCCGTATATTTTAAGGATTGCTATTTAAGTGGGGTTTTTTTTTATGGTTTTTCTCTTTTGTAAAACATTTTATAATTGCAGCCTACCTTTTGTTGTTTTACCGTTCTTGTAAATCATGATTAGATATTAATGAAATTATGATCATAAGAGGGTGAAATAGGGTCCCCTAAATCTTGTATTAAAAATAAAATATTTACTATTTGAAATATTTGAGGAAATGAATTGAATTATCAGTAATTTAGAAATCATTTTTGTTATAGAAATTATTGATTGTTCTCATTAAAAAAAAAAAAAAAACCATGATCCATGCATAATCAACTGAGAAAAACAAAGAAAAAGGAAAACTTTGGGTTAAAACCACAAACAATTAAAGGAAAGGAAAGATTAATAACATACCTACGAGGGATGAGAATATCTTGATGATCATTGGTGACCAAGTAAGGAAAGAAATGATATTGTGCTATCCAGGGTTCTGGGAAGGAAAAATAAAGGACTATTTTCTTTCATTTGTGATTTGTGTTAATTATTTTTATTATTTGTTAATCAAACTAGCATGCTGTGGTTTGATATTAGAACTTGTCCTTCATATATTTCATAATGGATAATATGGTTAAGTAGTACATGAACTTTGTTCTTCATATACAATTAAAAATTTATTTTTATATATTTATTATTTCTATTATTTGTTGGTCATTTCAATATGCAATAGTTTAATATTATGCCCTATTATTAGAATGTTGTTCAGTAGATAAAAAGATCAATTATCACATGACCTTTGTTTTATATATATATATATATGTAATTGAAAACTTGTTTTTATATGATAATATTTTCTATTATTTATTTGTCAATCCAATATAATATAATTTGATATCGAGCCTGATCATTAGGATGTTGTTTGGTAAATAATAAAGTCAATTAGTATATGAATCCTTTTCTCTTTTTTTTTTATATGTGATTGAAAAATTATTTTTATATGTTAATTATTTCTATTATTTATTAGTCAATCCAATATAGTATAGTATAATATCGTGTTTTATCATTAGGATGTTGTTTAGTAGATAATTGGGTTGATTAGTATATGATCCTTTTTAATATGTGATTTTAAACTTATTTTATGAGTTAATTATTTTGATGATTTGCTAAACAATCCAATATGGTAAAGTTCAATTTCAGGTATTGTCCTTTAAATATTGTTTGGTGGGCAATAGAATCAATTCATACATAACTTTTTATTTGATAAATAATAATGATAATGATAAAATAAATAAATACAAAGATTTTTTTTCATTGTTTAATGTGCATATACATCATATGTATATACAAGAATATCTTTTAAGTTATTCTTATGATTAACAAGTTAGTTACTTTCAAGAAACGAATCATATATAATCACAATATTATTTTTTAAACTATAAAAAAATAAATATATGTAAGAATTGTAGCATTAATTTTAATTATACATTGATTATTTTTAATGTGTGAGTGGTGGCCTACATGCAATTCTAATTAATATAATATTGAACTGATTCATGCTTATTAATTGCTCACTATCCTTTTAAGTTCAATGTCCATATTGCAAAAAATAGGATTGAGTCTTACTACAAAGTTAAGTTCCAAATCATTATATCAGATCACAATAGGTTTTTATTCTTAATAATAAATACATATATATTAATTTAGGCAAATCTTATCATGTAAGGACATTAAATAAATTTATCACTAAAAACAAACAAGAATGCATATTATCATAAAAATGATGTATACGGTGATTGTTATCTTTCACATCATATAACTAGTCATTTACTCATGACTTTTGAATACCCAGGGTTTATAGTTACTGTAAAATTAGATAACAATTTCTTTTTTTATTTTTATCTTTTTATGCACAGTTCGCCTTGATTTCCTCAATGATAATGCTTTCAAAATAGTTTCAAACACAAGAATTTATTTAACAATGTAAAATAAATTCAATTCATAGTGATCTAAACAGGCTATTAAAGATAAATCCATAAATATTAAAATCAAAATAATTAGTGATTAAAATCCAACCACTCGGGAACTTTCTCTCTTCTAAACTTTTCAATGTCCTTCGTTTTCTTATCTTAGCTTATAGGAACTAGAATGTGATAAAAAAAAAAAATTAGAATCAAAACATAATAACCTAGCATAATAGGGATGAAAAATAAATAAAAAACCGAGGGATCAAATAGAACTTTTATACACTTTTTATGAAAAAGTCCTTTGTTTCTTTATTAATGTGAATTCCATCTTCTATCTCTGAAATTGTTTTTTTTTTTTCCAGAAGAAGCAAAAACTCTATTAAAATTGGTTGCTGATACAACATCAGGACATTTACTAACAAATTAGATTAGTTAGAAAAACAAATCAAAATGTATTTGAGCATATAAAGCCATGAAAACATGATTTGAACGATCAAATTGATAAGAAATAAAGTTTAGTGGATGAATTGTAGATCAACCGAAATACGGGGATTAAAATGTAAAAATGTAGGCAAAAAGCATTGTGAAAGAACAATTTTTTGTATGAGTGGATGGATGGTGTTTTTTTTTTAAAAAAAAAGGGTAAAAAGAGATGTGATTTTAGTTTTGTTTGTTAATGTTAATTGCGGTTCCTAATTCGTGCTTTTACTCATTTTGTTGCAAATGCAATCTTGTATGAAAAGCACGTAAATATTCCTTTTCCATTGCTACTGATTATTTTCTTACATGGGAATGAACTTATTGTGTCCTCCACTTGCTCCTTTTCTCTGTTCTTCTACCCAATGATCATTCATTCTTCATATTTTGTTTGGTTCAAATTAATAGGTCAATATTCTTCCTCGTAAGATCATGATTTCCACCCCCCCTTCCCCCTTTTTTTTTAACTCTTTCTGGCCAAAAAGAACGTTAACAGCCCTTTGCACAAGTGTTTATGATCATCGGAGAAGCTGGCATTGGATTGATCATTGCTGCAACGATTTCCTCAAGTCGTCAAGTACACGGCGCCGATGCCGTTAGATAAGAAGGATGCAATGAAGTAGCTTGTATTTCCACTATTGCATTGCAGGGATAACATGTATTTATCAGTAATTCTAGCTTTTATTGAGT